TCCCAAAATTCCTCAACTCTCTGCCCCACTCGCGGCGACAATCCCCACTCGCCCGCGCTCTCTGTTTCAGCTTCTTCACTCCCCCAGAGATTCTCTATATCCCCTGCACTTTCAGGTTTTACTTTGTTCCGCCTCACTCTCTTCAAACCCATCACGAAAAAATGTTTCTTTTAGATTTTTCTTTCGTTTTTGACTCTGTGATTTGCTTGTCATTTTTGGCCACGTTGAATCTTGTTATGGTTGCTGTAATGTCTGCTTGCGTTTGTATGGGGTGAAATTACTGTCCGTGTCAATCATGTTGTTTGTTTCTCGAGAAAGTGCGGGAGAGTGGAGGTTGGTGTTTCGGGTTTTTCGTGTGGAGCAATGGAAGGAATGTCGACGACGGTGGAAATTTTATGAAATTCCATGTCAAGTTTTGAGCTGCTGGCAGTGTATGTGTATCGTGTTCTCTGGGCTGCGTCTAAGTTCAAGTTCGATCTCCTGTGGTTTGATGGTGGCCAAATTACGCGGGGAATTTGGCGAATTTTAGTATGAACGATCTCCTCTGGCGAACTTCAACACCGAGAGGGATGCTACTAAATTACTGTGGCGTCAGATTGAATTCGAGGGTAACCTATAACTTTACTTAATATCATGACTTACTGCCTGGGACATGGGGACATGGGTAGTGCCGGAGTCACCTTGAATGATCCTTCAACTTTCTAATTCAATGGCTTATGATGCCTAAAATTATACTTAGTTGATCTGTTCATAATACAAAAGTAGCTTGTATCTGGTCACTTTTGATATAATCTTTAAGCTACGTGCCAGTCCAAAGCTCAGCCCAATGACCTTTCTCTTAGTTTTTGTCTCAAAGCTGACCAATTTAGGTAACGACAGATTGCTAAGTAAACATGTATGAGTGAAGCGATGGTACCATTCTAGCGTCTTGTATTACGTGAAGTTGAATTACTTTATGTGTCCTTTTCCATTGTTCAGTAGAATGCTCGAGAGGAATGCTTTTGGCAACAGGGGGAAGGTTCAGTGGAGTAGGGTTCCTATTATATAATTTCAGGAAATATGGATATAATGTACCAGTAGAAATCTACAATTGATGTATCAGAAATTTGCTTCTTTGTGTCTAATAGTGTGAGCTTTATTTACAAAGCACTTTGCAGATATTCTATTGTTTTTATTTGTCCCTTTCTTCCTATTCTTCTTTTTGTTGCAGGTAGAGGACTAATCATTGTCTTTCCTACTATATCGAGTAAAAAATTATGTGTGTGTATAGCTTTTCCTTATTTATTGTTACCTTGCAAAGTGTTCTGCCTTCATTTTAAATTATTATTATTATTTTGTAAATAGACCACAATGGAGGTGAGGATAATAAAACCTCATGTGATATTCCATGCATGGGGCAGTTTCTTTGGAAGAATTATGTTGTATGTCTGACTCGAGTATGATTTCACAGATAAAAAGTAGTAATCTTGTACAGGTCTTTTTCATTTGTTGTGAAAGTTTGCAATCTTGACAGCAGATGGTTCAAAATATCATTATCTAGATATATATACGAGAGTGGACATATTCTGTTGCTATCCCAAGATATTAAATGTTATTTTCTTTACAAGCAAACAGCCTTTGATTTCGTGAAATAATGTTATTGAGTTCACTAGCAAGCAAGCAGCAAAAACATGTGACAACATGCTCCATAAGTTATGGGCATAGTAGGTATTGACCCTATAACTTAAGAGGCTGTGAAATTTTGTTGGCAGGTTAGATGGCCATGCTTTATATGTAATCAAGTAAAAATCAAAATTTAGTCTTTGAGATGTTTACTATTTAATTAATTAATGTCCATTTCAGGTATCTCCGAAGTTCATTAGCCACCGACGCTTCTCATCATGGATATAGATCTTAGGTTACCTTCCGGTGAGCATGACAAAGATGAAGAACCAAATGCAATTAATAACATGTTGGATGTAGAAGAGAAACTTCATAATGGAGATATTGAGAGTGGAAATATGGTTGATGCTACAGATGCAATGCACGTTGAAGATGGTGGAGATTTGAATTCCCCAATGTTAGATATGGCAATGTTTAAAGATGACACAAATCTAGAACCACTTCCTGGTATGGAATTTGAATCACATGGTGAAGCATATTCCTTTTACCAGGAATATGCTCGCTCTATGGGATTCAACACGGCAATACAAAATAGCCGTCGTTCAAAGACATCAAGGGAATTTATTGATGCAAAATTTGCTTGTTCTCGTTACGGTATTAAGAGAGAGTACGATAAATCCTTCAACCGGCCACGTGTAAGGCAAACTAAGCAAGAAAGTGAAAATGCAACTGGTCGACGAGCGTGTGCAAAGACAGACTGCAAAGCAAGCATGCATGTGAAGAGGAGGGCAGATGGTAAATGGGTTATACATAGTTTTGTTAAGGAGCATAACCATGAGCTTTTACCAGCTCAAGCTGTCAGTGAACAAACAAGAAAGATGTATGCTGCAATGGCTAGGCAATTTGCTGAATACAAAAGTGTAGTAGGTCTCAAGAATGACTCCAAGAATCCATTTGATAAAGTTCGTAGTTTGGCCTTTGACGTGGGAGATGCAAGGACTTTACTTGACTTTTTTACCCAGATGCAGAATTTGAACTCTAACTTTTTTTATGCTGTAGATATTGGTGAAGATCACCGGCTAAGGAATTTATTTTGGATTGATGCAAAAAGTAGGCATGACTATATTTATTTCAATGATGTAGTGTCTCTTGATACTACCTATATCAGAAATAAGTATAAGTTGCCCCTTGCTTTCTTTGTTGGGGTGAATCAACATTATCAATTTATGTTGATTGGATGTGCTTTGCTATCAGATGAAAGTCCAACAACATATGCTTGGCTGTTGCATACATGGTTGAAAGCAATTGGTGGACAGGCTCCAAAAGTTGTTATCACTGACCATGATAAAGTCTTGAAGTCAGTTATTCCAGAGGTGCTTCCAAATGTTTATCATCACTTCACTTTGTGGCATATATTCGGAAAGATTTCCGAAAACCTTGGTAATGTAATAAAACAGCATGAGAATTTTATGGCAAAATTTGAAAAATGCATCTATAGGTCATGGACAAATGAAGAATTTGAAAAAAGATGGTGGAAACTGGTTGAAAGATTTGAACTCAAAGAAGATGAACTGGTTCAGTCCTTGTGGGAAGGTCAAAGACACTGGGCACCAATGTACGTGAAGGATGTATTTTTGGCTGGAATGTCTGCGGCACAGCGGTCTGAGAGTGTAAATTGCTTCCTTGATAAGTACTTGCATAAAAAGACCACTGTGCTGGAGTTCGTGAAACAGTATGAAACAATTCTACAGGATAGGTATGAAGAGGAAGCAAAAGCTGACTCTGATACATGGAACAAACAACCCACTTTAAAATCTCCTTCACCATTTGAGAAAAGTGTTTCAGGGCTGTACACACACGCAGTATTTAAAAAGTTTCAAGTAGAAGTTTTAGGTGCCGTTGCTTGCCATCCTAAGAGGGAAAAGCAAGATGAGAAAAGCATTACCTATCGAGTTCAAGATTTTGAAAAGAATCAAGACTTCATTGTTGATTGGAATGAATTGAAGTCAGAAGTTTCTTGTCTATGCCGGTTGTATGAATATAAAGGTTATCTTTGTAGACATGCAATGATTGTTCTTCAAATTTGTGGCCTATCTGCTATTCCAGCTCAATATATTTTGAAGCGGTGGACGAAAGATGCTAAAAATCGACAATTAATGGGAGAAGAATCTGAGCCACTACAGTCTCGGGTGCAGCGTTACAATGATCTATGCCAGCGAGCATTGAAATTGATTGAAGAGGGATCTTTGTCCCAAGAAAGTTACAGTATTGCAGTACATGCACTTGATGAAACGCTTGGAAATTGTATAAGTGTCAATAATTCCAATAGAACTCTTTTAGAACCTGGTACATCAGCAGCTCATGGTCTACTCTGTATTGAAGAAGACAATCAGATTAGAAACATGGGCAAGACAAGCAAGAAAAAGAATCCAACAAAGAAGAGGAAGGTTAGTTGTTTTAAGTGTGGGTGTCTGTGATTTTTTTTAATTTATTTAAGTATTACATCTTGAAAATGATATCTTTGAATCGCAGGTGAATGCTGAGCCTGATGTCATGACTGTTGGAGCACAAGACAGCTTGCAGCAGATGGTTTGTCTATTATTATTATTGTTGTTGTTATCCATGTCAATTTTCAATTTTTGCTTATATTTGCCCTACTCATTTTTGGTATATTATAAAATACCTAAACACCATAATTGGACCCCAAGGGTTGACTCTTGGAGTTAATAAATTTATGTTAATTTCAAAATATCTTGGAGCAACCTACCTGAGATACTGAAATACTATGATTTCTTTTTCCTTTTGAAATTGGTACTGAAGAATAAATATCACTCCATAGAAAATTAAATCAATAGAAGTAAGAGGGGATCAGTCGTCGCCCCAATTTAGGCCTCAAGGATTTGTAGGAACATGTTGACATAATTTCTTTTGTCTTCAAACAGTCTTTTGCTTCTTTCAATCAATCATAATAATAGATTTAATATCATTCCTTTGTAAGATTTGGCTTTACCAATTATGAACTGCCACCAAACAAAATAAATTTCAGTAATTAAACTTGTTATACCATTAGGGAGAGTCGGAGATGGTTAGAGAGATAAACAGTTTCACGGAAATAGTCCAGCAAGAAAAAACTAGCAAAAACTCAAAAAAAGTGATTAATGTTTCCTCCACCTCATTTGCGGTCGATAAACATCTGAGAGGAGAGGGGCAGGCCCTGATTTCCTTCTTGTAATTTGTCCCGAGTGTCGTTACTTTTGAGAACTAAGGACCAAAGGAAGAATATTTCTCATTCAGAGCTTTTCCTTTCAAAATCAGCGTGAAAAGGTCCCTTGATGTTTTTTTCTGTATTCATGAGGTGCAAAGTCAGATTTTGAGGAAAGAAAAGTCTCCAGAACCTGCAATCTTCCAAATCCTGCTAAAAAATTGAGATGACCACCCAATCATTTTCTTATTGAAGTTGATCGAATCTTCCACTTCTATTTTCTGGAAACTCTTTCTAATTTCTTAATTCCAGCAATCTTTCACAGTTAAATTATTGGATGTTCTAGTGCTAGTCTCTGGTTTTGGGCTTTGCCAATGTACAAATTTATATTTGGAAAAAAAAAAAAGAAAGGACTTGGGCATTATAATTGATTAAAGGTTTTTTTAAAATATGTTTTTGTTTAAAGATAAGCTACAAAGTATTATCATTATGTAGCCGATTCTTTTCCCTTTCTTATTTTCAGGATAAATTAGCCTCAAGAGCAGTAACCCTTGATGGCTATTTTGGCACACAGCCAAGTGTGCAAGGAATGGTATGATTTTCTTGAGTCTCTTTTTACTATCTTAACTAGTGAACTGGCAAAGTTTTTAGTTCTATGAGCTCTTATCTTCGCAGGTACAGCTTAACTTAATGGCACCAACCCGTGATAATTATTATGGAAACCAACAGGCCATTCAGGGGCTGGTAAGCTTTATGGATACACAAAAAAATATATGCGTGGGTACAGACTTTAGTATAAAATACATAAACTCTTCATTTATTTCTTATTTATTAGTAACTATTTGAAATTCTGGGTTCTTCTATTTATAGGGGCAATTAAACTCAATAGCACCTAGCCATGATGGTTACTACGCTGCTCAACAGAGTATTCACGGACTGGTATGTTACATTTTGAGACAGCTGTTGTTCAGCCTATTTGTATTCAAGTCGTCACATTTTACAATTCCTGCAGGGACAAATGGATTTTTTCCGAGCGCCAACTGGTTTCACCTATAGCATGCGGGTTAGTTAACCGAACACAATGGATATCTTCCACTGTATTATGCAATTTTTATGTCATCCACATTCAATACATTTCCTTGTGGCAGGATGATCCAAATGTACGAACTACTCAGTTGCATGATGATGCATCAAGACATGCATGATTAATCACTAATCTTAGTGAAGGTGCTTCACAAGTGGAAATAAATGTAATCTATTTGTATTTAGCCATAAAATGAACTCTGCACATTAAGAATCAGTAATAACAGATCATTTTGCAGGTGCAGGGAACAGCACATTCTTCTAGTGTCTTTAAAATAGAATGTACCTTGCCAAGTTAGTGGCTGGAGATGTACCAAATGTTGGTCCTTCTTAAGTGATTGTATCATATAAAAGAGTATGCTGTATCTCATCATTGCCAATTATTTTACATGGTTCTTACTGAAAGATGATAATACCAATACAGCCTAGAGTTATTTGTATTTGTAATTGTTTGACCCAAATTGAATTAGTTGGAAACAAAACGTATTCGAGTACGAGCTGAACTGTTAGTTTCTTGTTTTAAGGTGTAACTAGAGTAGGTAGAGCTGGAATAACTGGTTTCTGGTTCAACAATTTTTGAGTAAGATGGAATAGAACTTAGAAGGAACACTTGCTCTGTGGACACAGGTCCAAGGAGAAGCAAAAGGTTTTTAAATCAAAGCCTTCTTATGGAGATGGTGGTTAGAGCAAGATATCAGAGTTTTTTTCCATGAGAAATAGGAAGTGGGAAGGAATTTTTTGGTCTCAATCCCAATCCCTTTTGTAGTTATACTCTTTTGTCATGAAATACTCCTTGGAGCAGTGTTTTGTAAGCTCATTTGGTTTTGAGTTTATTCTGGTTTCTGCTGTACATGAATGAAAAATTTTGTTTGTTAATTTGGGTTGAGTAACAGGATATGCATTTTCCATGTGGAGCAACTCAGCATCACTTTGGAAAGGAATAGAGTCTGATTTGGAACTGAGCTTTTGTTGAGGAAGTCAAGCCATGGTCTCTCTCTCTCTCTCTCTCTCTCTCTCATTTAGATTAAGCATTGGAAGTTCATTAATATGGTTCTTTATTATGAATATTGTATTCATATTTTACAGGAGTGATGCTTATGGAGCAATTCAGAAGGTATCGCTGGAGCATTTTCAAGTCAGAAGAGTAATATACTTGCAGAAAGAGGAGCAAAATAGGTTTGTTGCATGTGGTGTAGAGTTATATTTCTCGACCTCTATTTTTTTTTTTCATAACATCCTTTTTTCTTTCAACTTTAATTCAATTTATTGACTTGAAATGCAAGTATACATAACATATATATGTATGCGTGTATAATGATATTTAGACACAAAAGAGCATGTACCAAAAAAAAAAAAACAAAAACAAAAGAAAGTTTGAATAAGAGCTAAAATTTTGTTTTACGGAAGATTAGAGGAATTGTCTCATGGATAAATTAATTGACATATTTATAATTATAAAACTTTCTTTTTTAAATAAAAGAAAAACACTCCAAGGTTTTAAATGTTGATAAATGCAGAGGTTTAAATTTCATGAAAATGTGGATGGAAATATTAAGAAACTATTGATAGATATTTTTGGAAAGGTTTAAAAAAAAAAATTCTAAAAAAATATTTCAAACAATCATTCTATCATTTTAAAATAACTTGAAAAATGATTAATATTAATGTTATGATGACTTTTTTTTTTTGTTATATCTTTCATATTTTGTCCACTTTTTTCAATATTAAGAAAATGTCGATTTACTCTTAATATTGATGTCATATTTAGGGCAAATGACTACTTGTCAAATGGATGTTTAATATTTTGACTCTAAATTCGATGTGTCTAAAAATTTGATAGATAATTTGATTATATATATATATAATGATTATAAAATTAAAAAGGAAGAATAGAAAAGTTCAATAAAAATTGTTGGCAATTATAACAAAAGTGAAACGTCTGAGATTTCAATTTTATGAAAATGTTGATGGAAATATTGTGTTTATGAGTATTTTTTAAAAAATCATAAAATAAAAATCTAAATAGATAAAAATTTTCCTCTTTTTAAATAGATTAACTATTAGTAATATCAAATATAATATTATGTTCATGTCAGGGACTGTATTAGGGAGATCCAACGATGAACAGCAGTCCAAAAAAGCTATGTTAGTGATATTTTTATATTTTTACATTTTATCAGATTTTTGTGATACCATAGAAATTTTGATTCACTTCTTTTATATTGATTTCAAACGGATATGACATGTGCACGGAAATTCAATATTCTACTACCAACCATCTCTTTTTGCTTCCTTTTTTTTGTAGTTCAACAATTTATAATGGTTCTAAATATCCGTTGAGTGTTTCCATGGATTTGACATCAACATTAAGGGTAAATCAACATTTCTTTTATAGTACAAGATAACCGACAACATATGAAATATACCAACAAAATGTCACTAATATATACCTAATATTAATATTAATTATTTTTAGCTAATTTAGAAATAGGAAAATTTGTTTTTTTATTTAAATAGTTTTTTTATCATTTTTTAGTTTTTCTAACTTTTATAGAAATATCAATCGACATCTTTGGTAGAAATTTCAAATTAGTAAGGGATGAGGAGAATTTGTTAAGTCCCAAAATATCAATTAAACTACTACTCTCGAAATTCTAACAAAAAATACAACTTTTTTTTTTCGGTATATTACAGTTTAGTGTTATTTAATACATTTGATAACTTTTAGCTATAAAATAAAAAAGAGAGCATTTGTTTTTTGTAAAAATATTTAAAAAATTGTTCTATTTCATTAGTTTTCTACATTAAAAAGTTTTACTCCTAAATAAATTGTCAAACTCATTTTTTTTTTTTTTTATCTTTTAATGTTTGGTCCTTCTTGTATATTTTGTTTTGATTTCTAAACTCTCTCCACACAGTATATTGTTTTTCTATTTACTCGATACAAATATTTCTTTTATGTAATACCTATATATATTCATCATATATATTTCAAATCACCTATTGTAAGTTAAGATTGAAGTTACAAAATTATTTAAGATTTTTGTTAAAAGATTAAGTTAGATTAGATTAAGTCAACACAAAGTTAGCTCACCTCAAAAACGAAAAATAAGTAGGAGAATTTGTATAAAAAATTAAGGGACAGTTGCAAATATGATAAAAAAATTTAGTAAAATTAACAAAATAACAACCACATTTTTTTTTCAAATATAGCATTTAAAAAAGAAATAGAGGTCCAACGTTCAAACTGTAACTTTACCTAAATGATATACATTTGTAATATATCTATAATATATCTATAATATATCTGACTACTAGTATATATGTGATATTGAAAATTTATGTTATATTTAAAAGTTTGAAAAAACAAGTCACATGTTTTGAAATATATAGAAAAAAAATTTGCTATCCGCACTTTCTAAAAAATGAATAATTTTAAAATTAGTTTTTCTAGAAAAGTATATTACGAAGCATTTTAACTAAACTAAACCGAAAAACTTTGCTTTATTTTTCTATTGAAAGAAAATAAAAAAAAAATGTGGATTTTCAGTCCCAAAAAAAAAAATTCAGGACAAATAGGAACCGTTAACTTTTACTATTGACTGTCAATTCATAAATGATTCTTGGATTAAAATTGAAAATTAGATTTACGTAATGATATAAGAAAAAAATCCCCAAGGATACCTTACCTAACTAAATAGCACGCGCTGATATATAAACGCGCGTGGCTTTAGAAAGAAAAAAGAAAAAAAAAAAGAAAGGAAAAAGACGTTAATATTTAATCCGAGATGAAAAATGATGTCTGTTTCATTGTCACGCTCGGGAAGAGGGGTGGGTCTGGGTTTTGCGACGGAGCGTGTGAAAAGCGAGTGAATTTGACCCAATTCTTCCCCCACGGTTTTCGATCGGCGAGTGAGTTTCAAACCCTAATTTCCCAATTTCAAGAACTTCCTTCCCCACTCGCGCAATTCCTCCACTCGCTGCCTTCGCTCCCCAGATTCTCAACAAATTTCTTTCTTCGGGTATTTCTCAACTTCGCGCCAACCTCTCCATTTCTCTCTCTTTGTTTTAGTTCGCAACTTGCTTACTTTCTGTGTCATCTATCTGCGATTCTGATGATATTTTGATGGTGTTTTCTTTCTGAATTTTCCGTTTTGTATGTCTGTTTGGTTGCTGAGAGAGTGTCCACGGAGAATTGCTTCTGTATGTTTAGTGGACTCAATGTGATTTGGAAAATGTGACGTACTACTGTTTTCTCCTCCTCCCCCTCCCCTTGATTTTAGCTAATTTGAGAAGGGGTGTTTTCTTTTTTTTTTTTTAAAAATCGAGAACCCAATTGGTTTGGAGTTTGATTTTCTTGGTTCTTCTGTTTGATTTCTCTATCCACGTTGGAGATTTTGTCGTTATAATATTCTGGACTTCTGAATAGGGAATTCGTCGATAATCACTTTTAGAGTTTTGCCTTTGAGTCGCTATCAAATCTCTGTTTCTTGCTGTCGGTGTGAAAGTTGGCGGTTTAGTTGTTATGTTAAAGTGGGAACCTTTGATTTTCTTTGGATCATCTGTCGCTGTCTTCTCTATGCAGTAGTTTCCTCTGATAATAATACCCCCTTTAACTAATCTAGGAATGTGTTTGAACTTGAAGTATTTGATACCTCATATTTGTTTGTAGTTGAGTTACTGGAAAAGTTTCCATAATGTTTCTTTATTGGGCGAGCTGTGTTTAAAGTCTTCAATCATTTGAATTTTGGCATTTAGCTAGTTATTGTCAGCTGGTAGATGATTTAAAAAACGAAAGATGTAAATCATATATTGGTAATGTACATTCCTAGAGAATTGGATCTGTAGAGAATAATTGATTTGAAAGTTCAAGGATGAACGATGATGATGTATGTCAGGTGCACTTCATGATAGATTCTGCAATATCCGGTGATGTCTTAGTCCTTTCAGGGCTATAAAAAATGAGTAACTGGCAAATTCAGTCAAGATAGGTAAACTATGCTTTTGATGAAAAGGAATGGGCTATGTGGCTGCATCTAGGTGAAATGTGAAGACTCTACTTCGTACTGCTGAAACAATGGTTGATGTTGTGGCTGAAATGCATCATGGAGATGGTGGAGTAGTTAGTTTACCTAAGAGGGACATATTGTTTGAAGGGGATATAGATTTTGAGCCACACAATGGAATTGAATTTGATTCCCATGAAGCTGCATACTCATTTTATCAAGAATATGCCAAATCAATGGGGTTCACAACATCTATTAAGAATAGTCGACGTTCGAAGAAGTCGAAAGAATTTATTGATGCAAAATTTGCATGTTCGAGATATGGTGTTACTCCTGAATCTGATAGTGGAAATAGTCGAAGGCCCAGTGTGAAAAAGACTGACTGTAAAGCCAGCATGCATGTGAAGAGAAGGCCAGATGGAAGATGGATTATTCATGAGTTCATAAAGGATCATAATCATGAGCTCTTACCTGCTCTTGCATATCATTTTCGCATCCATAGGAATGTCAAGCTGGCAGAGAAGAATAACATCGACATATTGCATGCTGTTAGTGAAAGGACACGGAGGATGTATGTTGAGATGTCAAAAAAATGTGGCGGGTATAGAAATGTCAGTTTTCCTCAGATGGACATGACTTGTCAGTTTGACAAAGGCCGGTATTTGGCTCTTGATGAGGGAGATGCCCAAATATTGCTTGAGTACTTTAAGCGTATCCAAAAGGAGAATCCCTACTTTTTCTATGCTATAGACTTGAATGAAGAGCAGCGTCTGAGAAACCTGTTCTGGGTTGATGCCAAAAGTAGGAATGATTATGTTAGTTTCAATGATGTTGTTTCTTTTGATATCTCATATATTAAAAGCAATGATAAGCTTCCCTTTGCTCCTTTCATTGGGGTGAACCATCACTCGCAGTCAATGATGCTTGGATGTGCACTGGCTGCAGATTGGACTAAACCAACATTTACCTGGTTGTTCAAGACATGGCTTAGAGCAATGGGTGGGCAAGCTCCCAAAGTTATTATTACTGATCAAGACAAAGCCTTGAAACTAGCCATTGAAGAAGTGTTCCCAAACACTCGCCATTGCTTTTCTCTTTGGCATATATTGGAAAAGATTCCCGATAATCTTGCTCATGTTATCAAACGGCACGAAAACTTCTTGTCAAAATTTAATAAGTGCATTTTTAAGTCGTGGACGGATGAGCAGTTTGATATGAGATGGTGGAAGATGGTTACTAGATTTGAACTTCAAGATGATGACTGGATACAATCATTGTATGATGATCGAAAAAAATGGGTACCAACTTTTATGGATGATATCTTCTTGGCTGGAATGTCAACTAGTCAACGTTCTGATAGTATGAATGCTTTCTTTGACAAATACATTCATAAGAAAATTACGCTGAAAGAGTTTGTGAAACAGTATGGAGCTATTCTGCAAAATAGATATGAAGAGGAAGCAATAGCAGATTTTGATACATTGCACAAACAGCCAGCACTAAAATCTCCTTCTCCCTGGGAAAAACAGATGTCTACGATTTACACCCACACAATATTCAAGAAATTCCAAAATGAGGTTTTGGGGGTAGTTGGTTGCCATCCGAGGAAAGAAAGTGAAGATGGTGCCATTACTACATTCAGAGTTCAGGACTGTGAGAAAGATGAACATTTTTTAGTAAGGTTGCATGAATTGAACTCCGAAGTTTCTTGTTTCTGCCGTTTGTTTGAATATAAAGGTTTTCTTTGTAGACACGCATTGATTGTATTACAAATACTTGGTTTTTCAAGCATCCCACCTCAATATATTTTAAAGAGGTGGACGAAAGATGCAAAGAGTAGGCAATCAATTTCTGAAGGAACAGAATTCAGACAGAACAGAGTACAGCGTTATAATGATTTATGTAAAAGAGCAATTGAATTGAGTGAAGAAGGATCGATTTCTGAGGAGTGTTATAATATTGCCATTCGTACATTAGTTGAAGCTTTGAAGACTTGTGTGAATATTAATAACTCCAAAAGTGCTCCAGCAGAATCTAGCGTTAATGCCCATGGTCTACGTGAGGAAGAAGAAGAGAATCAAGGAAGCATAACTGCTAAAACAAATAAGAGGAAGAGTACCAGCAGAAAACGAAAGGTCAGTTTTCCAGTCAGTGCTTGATATCCTTCTATTATAGTTATGTAAAACATAACGATACATAAACATTTTTTATTCAACAGTTTATTTGTTGTTCAGGTACAAGCAGAAACAGATATGATAATTGTTGAAGGACAGGAAAACTTACAGCAAATGGTTGAATTGCCCTACTATTTACTTCGTTAGCAATGTGCATGTATCATCATTGTTAAGAATTTTATTCTTATTTGGACTTGCTACTTGCAGGATAGCTTAACGTCGGATAGCTTGACCATGAACGGATATTACGGAACTCAACAGAATGTTCAAGGATTGGTAGAATGGTTTATTAGCTTCCGAGTGTATAAGATTAACTGAAATTATTAGTAGTGACTTCACAGATGCTATTGTTAAACTACTGCTTATCGCAGGTACAGTTGAACTTGATGGAGCCTCCTCATGATGCGTCGTCGTACTATGTCAGTCAACAAAGCATTCAAGGGCTGGTGAGTCGTGCTATACGGTTCTGCCAGGTATTAAATCACCATGAAGATGGGTTTGTTGCATCTGATTCAAGTTCAATATATTATTTTTTCAGGGACAATTAAATACTATTGCAACCAATCATGATGGATATTTTGGGGCTCAGCATAATAGCATTCATGCGCTGGTATTTGGGATTACCATTCAATGAACTTGCTGGGGGAACCTTTTTTTTTTTTTTTCTTTTTTTCTTTTCCAACCTGTATCTGAAAGAATTATTTCTGGTTGTGTTCACATGCAGGTGGATTATCGGCCAGCGACGAGTTATAATTATAGTTTACAGGTTTATTTAGAACACCTTATTTTATTTGAGAAAGATGTTTCTGATTTCTGGTTTCTTGTTGTGGTTGTTTAACTATTCTTGACCTGTCAAAATAATTGCAGGATGAGCAACATTTGAGATCTGCACAGCTTCATGGCAGTACTTCAAGACATACCTGATGAAGCAGTACTCAGCAGACAACTTTCCATGGTTGGTTGAGTTGTACAAAAAGGTATATACAGGGCCCGGACGTCATAGTTCTTAGTGCCACGTAGTTTCATACTCGAGCCTCTTTACTTTTCAGAATAGAGATAAAGAAAAGTTCTGTATTTTTATCGGTAAGCTACCATGTTATTTAGGCTGTCTAAAAAATAGTTCCCATATCCCCATGAAAGATGAAGGGGAAACAATTTGGCTGTATAGTTGTAGCAGAAATATCATTTGGGTATAAACCTCTGGCTTCTTCTATGAAGGGAAATCTGTTGTAACGAGCCAAATTCTGCTCATGTATAGGATTATAATTGTTTTTTTGAAGCAATCTAGACTAGCCTCTGCCAAAGTAATTTTGTTGGCAACAGATGACATTCGTTTTTTGTACACAACGTTGATATTTGCATAGTTCCAGTAGATACTTTGTTCATTGAGTGGTGTGTTATCCCATACCATCTCAACTGGTATATTTCTGCTCGAGGCAATGGCTTACTCTTGCTGCAGTGAAATTTTGCAATTGATTTTGAGGATCTTGTAGTTGGTCTTGGAATCAAATCCCAGACCAAAAATGCATCATTCTTAGTGAACCGGCATTCCACTAAATAAATTCTCTTTTTATCAGAAGAAAGAAATTATTCCCCAAGCATTGTTATCATGTATCATAGTGTACCATATTCTTGGGGGGTGACAAGAATGTTACATATCAATTTACTTGTGATCTTCTTCTCAGTTTGCACCACAACCCATTTTTGGTGTGAATAGTGGCCCCAGTAACAAGTTCTACAGATTCTGGACCTCCTTTTAGTTCCACATCAAACTTCTGCAGCAACATCGCCAATGCTATAGTTGACTCCATTAGAGCAAACTGATCTCCCACACATTTTCTAGGGCCTCCACCAAATGGTAAGAAGGAAAAGTCTGCTACAATCTGAGATACTCACCAGAATGAATCCATCATCCACCGTTACGCATCACTATGCAACTACTTTAGATGAGGATCAATGGTTGGTAAGTTACCTCGTTCGGGTATAGAGCTCCAGGGCTTCTAGATGGGTCAAAACCATCCCATCCTTCAATTCCCTCGCTTGGTTTCTTTACCTGAAATCTCTCTGGTTCAAATTCTTGAGGATTATCCCAGAAGTATGGAGATCTGTGGAGATTGTAAACCTGAAACAACAGATTTATATAAAGTCTAAAAGCCAAATGGAAGAGTGAAAGTGACATCCTCTGCTTAAATACTTTCAGCTTTATAAAAAAAAGAACAAATGAAATTGCCACCTCAATTATAAACCCTTAGAAATAAGCGTTTCCAATGGAATCTTTCACTTACAGAGATGAATATGTCAGTCCCTGCAGGAATTGTATATCCATTTTTGTCACCATTGTATCCTCCTGCATAGTTACCAGTGCATACATGGCTTGAGTGTATAATAACAGAATCGGGAACTCGCATCTTTAAGCTCAAGAAAGCAAGAGACGAGATGCCCATTATAACATATCACATCCATACAGCAAACTAACAAGCAGGGAGTGACTAATTCATCAAATTTCACAAGACAGTTTTTCTTCCTTCCTCTGGTTAATCAAATTATAATCAGAAAATATTGAAAACATCTTTTGTTTAAAGTATATGTCAAAAGAATGATGCTCTATAATCATGAAATCATGTCTTCACTTCATACAAAAACCGTCTTCTGCTGTTAACATATTCAACCGGCAAAGTCGAACACCGCTTCTTGGCTAGAGATGGGTCCTCATAACATATTCAAGACATGTTGATCGAAATGGAAAATTTTACCTTCGATTTTCTCTTAGCACCACTTACATGTGCAGGTTGTTTTCAATTAATACCTGGTAATGTATCCGATTTGAGAGCTCGTCTTATCAGCAATGGTGGCTGGGGAAACAAACGAAGAGTCTCTGCAACAATAAGTCTGATGTACCTGACAGAATTATACAAATCAATAAGTACCAAACTTCACTCAAGCTAAGAATTTTGTGGATAATTTTTTTGAGGAAGGGATGGGTAAGACAAGGGAATGAATGTTTTAGCTGTCGTGGCTCGAGCTTGGCTCAAGAGGGAGACGTTTGAATTCCTCAAATTAATTGGGATTATTTCGTTACTCGGTTTCTATAATTTAATGGGAAACAAAAGAGCATAAATTTCAGAATGACTACCATGAAGGAGACTGGATTTTCTGAGTTGGGTTCAGATTTTTTGCTTCATATTTATACTATCATAATGGGTTCAAAATCCTGAGAATGTGATAGAAACAAAAGTATATAATCTAAATAATTTAGACTGTTAGACCAATCTCATCGAAATCATCCATAATTGAATGCTTAGAGCCAGTTTCATAATGGTTTGATTTTCAAAAATATGCTTGTTTATTTATATTTTTATTTGTTTCCTAATAGTCGTATCGTAATTAAAACATTTTTGAAATTCTAGCCAAATTTTGAGAACGATTTTTGTTTGTGAAATTTAGCCAATAAAGATTATCAAACTGGTTGACAGTTCTATTTGTAGAAATAAATCCTTCAAATTTTAAAATGGAAGTATTTCATGCCATCAATGAAAGTTGTCTCCTATCAAAAGAATAAATAAATAAATGGAAGTAGAACAGCTTGAGGAAAGATTCAATGCCATAGCATGGACTGAATAAAAACTAAATGCACCTAGGAATCCAAGTAAATCTGAATAATGGTATTAATGCGTCTCCATTTCATCTACTAAGCTTTGAGAAAGATAAATCAGTATTGAGCAGAATACTAGGAAACAGATGATTTGCTTACTTCAATGCTTTAAGTGATTCAAAAGTTAGGCTCCCCTTGCCAAGAACCAAATCAATCTCTGCCTGAGCCTTTTTCATTTTTGAAGGATTCTGCAAAACCAACAGTGAAGGCTTTAAACAAAAGAGACCATCATTCACTTTATAAGTGATGGTAAAAAGGCAGAGCCAAGTGCTTACTTGTGCAAGCAAATAAACAGCCCATGTAAGAACAGCAGCAGTTGTCTCATGACCAGCAATAAGCATTGTCATCAGATCGTCCCTAAGCTGTTGATATTACATATCTAGATGTGAAAATGGATTCAAGAAAATGTATTATGGTCATTTAATATCCGAGTGCTAATGAAGAATTCGAGAGCTCCCTATCCTCCCGAACACCTTTGGGACTCTTACCCAAAAAGTATTGTCCTCTCTATTGTAACCGAGCTTCTAAATACTCCCCAACTCACACCCTTCCCACCAGTCTAACTAACTAGTTACATTGGATCCCGCACCTTACATTTTGCCAAGCCATTCCACCCTTACTCTCTTATGGCTATACAATTTTAACTATCAGGGTCTATCATGATCATTATACTACATTTGATTGTATAACAAATTGTACCGAGCAGCATTGACTATGATATGTAAAATTGGAGGAGGTTCTAAAATCAAAATGTAGGTCGTTTACTTGGAAACACATTATTCGGAGCATGTTTATGGAGCACATGGAAAGAGAGAAATCATAGGATCTTCACAGATAAGGATCTTCCCTTCGATAGAATCTTTGACAACATTATTTTTCTCGCTATGTCTTGGTGTAAAAATTCTCCCCTCTTTCATCATTATAGTATTATGACACTTTTGACCAATTGGGGAAGTTTCAAACTCCTTTGGTTTGCGGATGCTTTACCATCCCTTTTGTAATTTCACTCATCAATGAAATTGTTTCTTACAAAAAAAAAAAATGTAGGTCGTTTACCTGCCGATCATCAACATCAGCTCCCCGCATATCAACTAAGAAACGCAAAAGACTGGCATCCTGGAAAATATTAGGTAACACAGTAAGCTGTTTATGATTTTTGTGAAGTCTCTAAAGTAAAACACCAATACCTGAAAAGTAGACTTTAGAATCATTAATTTTCTCAGGATGATAGAAGAGACACCTTGAGATTTAAGTAGTCCCTTTGCTGCAATTTCTCGACATCGGCTTCCTGTTAGGAGATGCAACCAAAGTCAAGTCTAGGCTGTTGCTTCAAACAAATTTTTTCTGACAAGCACACAGTGAGTAACTAAGGTGTGTACTACTTAAATAAGGCACCTGTGACATGGAAAACAAAGTACAGATCTACGCCTTGCTTCAACCACGGAAGGAAAAAATACTGTTAAAAAAGGTTTAGACAAAAGAGTAGATTTTAAAACTACCTTGCAGTTACTTCTTGTCTCAATAGATTTTTCGATAATGGGTATTTGGCTCATACTGGAATATGAACAGAAAACAGAATTTTGAAATGGAAAAAGAATCATTCGCGAATCTTGAAGTCCTAATTAATAACCAACTATGAGATTTTTCAAGGTTTTTTTTTGGTGAGAAAAAAAGCATCTTTGAGAAACAAAATGCCGTATATTTTAGTTTTACAAACTTGATCTGGATATGTAGGTTTAGAAATTCCTGCAAGCATGCATGACAAATATTTCCATATTTTCATGGTACAGCACATTGTGCATGCTAGTTAAAGGTTTGGAAGGAGGGGAATAGAATAATTCTTCAACTCAAAACAGGATTATTGGTGTTTGAAATAGAGTCCATTTTGTGTCCACTGTTTCTGGATATCGCCCGCACAAAAATGTCATCCAGAACAGAGATAGACCAACAGGTTTAACTTCAGATCCAAACCACACGAAGCAGTCTTTTCAGGCTTATTGATCATCAGTAATAAACTAAAAAGTTATACAGCGGCAACATGACAAGATTTCCTACTTTCTTAGAAAATAAGACATTACCAAAACAATTAGCAACTTAAGTCTTAAGGCTCTGCTCACCTCACGGGTTTCTCTTGCATTTCGTATTAGGCCATCAAGACACTTGTTAATAACCTTAAGGTCACTATGGAATTTACGCTGCCTCGGGACTATCCACTTCGCTAAAGGTAATTTCCAATATGGGATATAGAAAGTTGATCTATGCTCTGCTTCAAAAAGAGTTCCATATACAGCCTGTAAGATATTTGTAAAACTGCTGATTAAGAATGCATAATGTTCATGTTTTAGGTATGCACTAGACATAAAATTTATGATGACAAAAACCACAGGATCTTTTTCCATCATAAATTATTGTAAATAATGAAAAATATTAATAAGTGGACACCAGAAACAACTTGGATCATGTTATAAAGATGCTCCAAATCCTAGTATGATAATGTAGTAGTAAATCACCAAATATATATAATTCCTTCTCTTAGTTCTGACAGCACTTTGAACTGGAACATCGCCTATTCTTACTGGCTCTCCTCTTCAGAGAATGCAATTAAATCAGAGTGTGGCACCATGTGTAAAGTTAACAGCACTAAAAATCATTATTAATTGGTAAAAATTAAAATATCATTCAAGTCACTTTCATTATTAATTGCTTTTGAAATGGTTATGGAGGTTTACACAAGAGGAAGATGCCTTGTGGAGAAGAGTTATTGAAAGTATTTACGGGATAGAGCCCCTCGGGTGGCTGTCTAAAAAGCATAGGGGTAAGTTGACGGGCAAACCCTGGGTTGCTATAGCTAAAAACAGCATTTTCTTCCTCAAATTTCTTTCTTTTAAAGTTTCTCGCGGCGACAGAATCCGCTTTTGGTTGGATAGATGGACGGGGAATACTACTCTAGCTCATGACTTCCCCGACATTTATGCTGTTTCTTTGAAAAAGGAAGCTTTGGTTGTTGAATGTTGGAAAGAGGAGCAGCTTGCTTGGGACCTTGGTTTAAGAAGGGGGCTCCATGATAGAGAAGTAGAAAGCTGGGTGGATCTTATGGGAAGGCTGGACACTATTCAAATTGGGGAGGGAGCCGATAAAGCAGTTTGGTCTCTAGATTCCTCTGGAAAGTATACAGTAAAATCGGCCTTCCAAGCTGCTTTTGAAGTTCCAAGCACGACACCTCTCATATCTTCTCTCTTATGGAAGTATTCTATCCCTAAAAAAGTTAAAGTTTTCCTATGGACTCTAGCTTATAGAGCTGTAAATACCACAGAAAGACTCCAGAGAAAGTGTCCAAATTGGACCCTCTCTCCTTCAGTTTGTGCTTTATGTCAGAAGAATGAGGATACTATGGACCATGTCTTCCTTCATTGCCAGTTTGCTTCTCGTGGATGGTCCTTTTTGTTCCAAATTTTTGGTTTCTCCATTTGCCTTCCTCAGAATATTGAAGGGTGGTTACATGAAACTCTAAGAGGGTGGCCTTTTAGAGGGAAAGCAAAAATCCTTTGGAGTCGTGCAATTAGAGCTCTTCTGTGGAATCTGTGGTTGGAAAGGAACGCTAGAATCTTCGAAGATAAGATTTCTTCTTTTGAAGTTTTTTGTAATACAGTTCATTTACACACTTCATGGTGGTGTCATAGGCATAGAAAATACTTCTGTAATTATAGCCTCTCTTCGATTATGCAAGAGCTCTTCTTTTGTAGTTCTTGGGAGTGGGATCCCTCTTCCCCCTGCCTTTAGGCTGTTTCTTGTGTTTCTATGCTTTTGCTAATACAAAGTTTCTTATCCAAACAAAAAAAAAATAACCAAAGTTTGTGTAAGAAATGAAAATAGATAGATAGACGGATGTGTATGAAGTGGGAAAAAATGCTGGCTATTTAAAATGCAGATCGTATTCATTTCTTCAAACCTTAATCACTGGAGATTCTTTGGTTACAGAACCAAAATCATAGTTGAAAACACCAAGTCCAATGATATCAAGAGCCAAACTTGAAAACTCTGCTTCCATATCCAACTCAATGGTTTTATCCTCCGCTCGTTCACCTTCTCCTAGAAGCTTCTCCAATTTCAACATTGATCGTTCTGAACAATCAGTGAATACTTTGGTCATAGCTTCCAAGTATAAGGCATGGAATCCTGGAGCAATAACTGTAAATCAAAATGAAATAAGTTAACATCTCTAACAGGTTATAACCACACCAAAGTTAACATATCGATAAAATTACCCAAAAAGAAGTTCCATTCATGCTAAAAGAAAAAAAAATAATGTTTTTCTATTCTAATTTTTTCTAAACGAACTTGCAAAATGATGATTACGTTGCAGCTTTCCTTTAACGGTGATCATGGTGCTACAAAATTATACAAGGTATAAATATTACTGATGATGGAAGGCTCGAAGCACATTTTATGGACTCGGAAGAGAGTGCACAGAAATCTTAGCTTCAATTTGCTCACCTCGTCTCCTCTGCTTCCAAGTGTCAAGGTCAGCTGGTATTAGTCCTTTACCCATTATTGGTTCTAGAATATCAGCAAGCACTCCCTAGTTGAATATATTTACATTAGCAATAAGACATCATGAAAACTCAAAGTGCTAAAAATAGTTGATTAATATGGAAATTTCGCATCCATATTGCTGATAATCTGAAGAAAAACTATTCAAGGAATTTCAACAAAATGGAGGCCCACAGTATCAGTTGTATCAAGAAATGACCAAATTCACTCTAACCATAAATCACTGCGATGTTATTTTAGCAAATCTTTCGTCTAGTTGATTACATGCCCATTAACTATCTAAATTCAAACTTTACATTTTCCTTTTGAGAAAAGAGACAATGCTATGATTCATGATAGTACAAGAAATAGATGGTCCATTTCCTCTGAAGTCTAACTGAATTATCTACACTGCCTAACAAACAGAAAGAGAGAAATGGATTCAATATATTACCTTGTCATAACCAAATGCATTTTCTCTAAGAACATATCTTGCCACAATGGGATCTGATACAACAACAAAGGCTTTTGGTCCAAAAGCGAGTTTATAGACAGATCCATGCTGCAACAGGAAAGAAAAAAATTAATAGAAAGAAATGGGTATCTGAATCCTATGCCTAGAAAGAAAACTAATAGAAAAAAAGGTGTACAGAAAGATTTTGCACCATCAAATAACGAGCAGAAATAAGACTTAATAGGTACACAATTTAAATCGAATTCATGAAGGAAGATTATAATGTCTAATCACTAAGTCCAATGGTTAAGCATATTTGTTAGGAATCTTGTCTTAGGGGACATACTTGAAATTATCGATATCACACAAGTTCCCAACCATCAAAAATATCATGAAATCAAGAGGCAATTGTCATTTCAAACTCAAGGAAAACAGAATTATTGGAGGACTTTTACATACTAAAAGATGTCCAACCGTTTTATGCTAGACAACATCTATTGAGCAACAACGTTATTAGGCACACATGAGAGTAAGCGTCGTCATAGGGATTTAATGTTTCAGTTGAAGAAACTCATGAGAAATTTATGAAAGGTGCATGTATATACCTCTAAGAACCAATCATACAGAGCAAAGAAGAGTGGGCGACCAAACAAATCCGAGACTGCACCTTCAGCTATTGGCATAGATCCCAGATTTCCACCACTCAACAAATTGGTAAGGAGATTGCTTGCATTGTCGAGTAGATTTCTTTTTGTTTTAGGTTCATCGGTTCGAGCTGATTGGCACCTACAAAAACATTTCAACACAAATTGTTCCATAAACACAAGTTCAACTACAGAAACACGCCACAAAAACGATGGGGAATTTGGATGAATCCAGACTGGATTATGCCTCCTAAGTTAACAAGAAACCTAGAGTAAAGAGAAACCATATGGATAAAAGAAATTTGACAATTATGAACAATAATGATATTTATTACCATTTAGAAAGAAAAAATTGCAAAAGGATAGCAACTGGAAACTATTAACCAGTGCTGAGTTCAGGAGAAACGTGAAGATACCATAGAAAATTTAGAGTTCAGACCAATAATCACCTTTATTGCAACATCATTTGAACAAATAATGAAAAAGACAATCCCAAAGAGAACAAGAACTGAAAATTAGAGACCCAAAAGCTGAGCTCGGGACAGAGACGAAAAAGGCAATGATCGGTTACTCCAAAAACGAGTGAAAAAACAGGAGAAAACGAGCATACATATGTTACCTAGCTGAGAAGCAACCTAAACTTTCACCCACTTATTCAGAGAAGCAAAAATCCGCAATAAAGAGAAATAGAAATGATTACCTCACAACCGAACCTCTAAGATTAGATTTCCGAAACTTGGCGGTGGCGGTAGTGGCAGAGCAAACCGACGGTTGTCTCGCCATACCCACAAACCCAAATTCATTTCTCTGCAGATTTCCATGGAAGACAGCCGAAGGCAGGTTCGAAAGGGAAGTGGCAGCCATTGCCACTCCCATTCCCACGGCCCCAATCTTGAATAAACAAACTGGGTAGTGATGCTTATCAAGTGAATCACCGAATGTACAAAAAGGGGGGATGGAAATTTGGAAATACTCTAAAAATCAGTGAAGATATGAACGAAACCGCCCTCAGATTACTGGGTGGGAGTGGGATATAGAATTTTTTAATTCTTCAAATAGAAAACCACTTTTTTCTTTGTCTGTTTTCTCTAATCTAGAGTAACAAAAGCCCACTAAGGACTGTCATTGCCTAACCCAATAGAGCACACCGTTAAAAATGGTGGCAATTGGCGCTTATTTTTGGCGATTGTTGCAGCCCCACTCGCAGTTTTTAGAAATGCTCATATATTTTTGGCTGACAAGATACGGAACTGAATTTTAGCGACACATGATGCTTAAAAGCTGTCCACAACCTCTCAATTTTAGGGGATGTTTGATTTGATGTTTACATGTATTGAGGTTGATGGTATAGAATTGGAGTATTTTCTCAAATATTTTGATGATAACTAATCATTTTTTTGTGATGATTTGATGTTTAAATGTACTGAGACTGATGTTATAGAACTCAAGTATTTTTCATAGATGGTTTAAAACAGATCAGTTTAAAAGTCGATAGGAATATAATTCAATCGATAACTTTCTTTAAAATTGTAGTTCCGAATTCTCGCCTCTTTTTTAATTAAAATTATATTTGTATCTTTTTATAATTTTTAGTTGTTATTTCAGAAAATTTTAAACTACTTAAATGAGTAGTTTTAAATAATTATCTTAATTAGTTTTTTCAAATCTGATTTTAAAAGGGTTCTTTCCCGAAGAAGCGCACATTTTAAATTCTACTATTTATCTTCTTTTTAGATAAGCTTTTGCAAGATCATGGCAGAAAACTCTATAGTTTTTTTCTTTTAAATAATATTATAGTTCAAATAAGGGTAGAGATTTAAGCATACGACAAAGAGATTACTAATTTTTCTTACCAATTGAGCCATACGGACGGTAAAAAATTTTGTGAAATCTATTTTAACTCTATGAATGTATGTATGTATATGTGTATATATAATCTTATTTTGATATTACATATTATTAAGTATTAAGATATGAGAGTAATAGGACTTGTAGGAGAAATTTGGTTTTGAATTTGGAATCCCAAAAAGAATCTCTTTCCAAAAAAATTAGTACAAATATGGTGTTGACCGATATGTGCATTTTTTCTACCTTTATCCAATATTTCATATAAAAATTAGTGGATTTTAAAAAGTTATTTATATGTTATCTTTTTATTACTAATAAGAATTGGTCAATAAAACGTGCAAAATAATTGTCAAAATTTTGTTCTTACTATTGTATCTCTTTCATATTTGTTGATATTTTTTGCAAGCCATGTAAACATAACTGGTCGAGTTATATATCTTTGATCATAAGTTTTGAGGTTTGAATCCCGTAAACTCAAACAAAGAAAAATATACATATATATATATATATACACTTAAATTATTCTTTCTCTTATATGGTTATTTTTTTTTGGGATAAAATTATATGATTAATGTTAAACCAACTTTCATTAAAAACTTAATTGCATGTTTGCTATTTATTTGATCAAGATTTTTACCAAGTCTGCGAAGCTCGGCTTCGACTGTGACTGACTTTGACTCTTTGAACGAGTTGACACGCTAACAAGTAGAAGACCTACAAAAAGGAGTAAATACTTTGACGCTCAAGTCAATAGCTAACCGATTTATACTCGAAAAAGAATATAGTTTCGCGTACCTGAAAATAACGCGGGAGGTCTCTATTTATAGGCAGAGTTTCCGACAAGCTTCCAACGACTCTTCGACAACCCAAGAATCGGATTGTGTCGGAATTCTATTCCTGAACAAGTCTCCTTTGATTAGCTCGGTTGGTAACTCATGTGTCTAATGTAGAAATTTGGGCTCGACTCGACTGATATCTTAGGTGGCCGATGCAAGAGACTTTGGTTAGCTCATCTTTTATATGACTTGAGACTGCCTTCAATAGATCGACTTGGCTTCTTTAGGAAGGTCTGAGGTGTATAGTTACTTCTAGGTACGAACCTTTGTGCTAACTCATCAATCTTGGTTGTATCATAGGATGACATGTGGCTAGTGAAAAATCACCTCAAGCACTATTAATTACTTTTTTTAGCAAGTGCTTTACAACAATCAAACTAAATTTTGGGTTAGTTGCAAACTTTTTTTTTGTTTTCTAACATTGATTAAAAGTTCTACCTCCCACTATAGTTTATTTGAGTTCATCTTCATCCTGTACTTTCAAGAGGTTTATTTTGGTTTCTATATTTTCAACTTTTATTTATTTTAGTCTCTGTATTTTTAAAGAATAATCTTTTAATTTTTACTTTTATCTTGTTTATTTATATCACAATTTTAGCATATCACTTCACTTGCCAATTTTTTTGAGATTTAACCATAAATTTGTATTAAAAATTTTCATTTTGTATAAAATTTGTGTTAAAATTTTGTAAATAGAGATCAAAATATTCATTTTAGAAATACACAAGAATCAAAATAGTCGTTTTAAAAATATAAAAACTAAAATGAACTAAAATTAAAAATATTGAGATTAAAAAGGAGTAACGTGAACCCATGTCTGTAATCCAAAATAGGATATAAACCAGTTGAGTGCCAGTAAAACATGACGATTATTTAAGTGTTTTGTTTAAAAAATAAAAAAAGGGAAGCGAGCATTTTATTTTATTTTTTTCATTCTACATTAAAATTGATTATTATTATTATTATTATTTTAAAATAATATCGGTTTGATTCCTTCATCAAATGTCTGCATTTATGATTACATACATTTTCTAAAAATGTTTTAAAACATAATTTATTTAGAAGGTGTTTGATAATAAGTTTTAGAAACTATTTTTATTTACTTAATTTTGTTGTTTATTTAATTCGTATTTTATATTAATAAAATTTTAACAAATTAATAATTACTAAAAAGAAACATTTGAAATAACACTTATGATATAAGGGAATGAAAATGTGAGGAGATCAAATTTGAATATACGGCAAGAACTCATTAAAAAAAATACATTGAGATAAAAATTTAAATAACTTTTGAGGGTAATGCTCTTAAGTGATTTTTTTTTCTTCTCTAAAATAGCCCTTCACTCAATGGGTAATGTTTAAATATATTTATAAATTAGTTTTCTAATAAATATTCAAGACTACTGAAAAAACCTAAAATATGAGTAAAGGAAATGAGATTAAAATAAGAAAAATGTTTGGTTCCTTTACCGACCAATTTTCGGTCAATGTTTAACAATTATGAGAGAAAAATGTAAATTTTTTTTTTAACTAATGAGCTGTCAATTTTTCAATATTGAATAAAGAATTTTATTATAAATAAATAAATATTTTTAATTGATAATAAATCCAAATTCGATGCCAAAGCGAACATAACTCAACGCTAATTGACATATATCTTAAATTAGGTGGTTGTGAGTTCCATCCCCATACCCACACGTTGTACTAAAAATGAATCCAAATTCGATAAAACTCCAAACTAATTTTAAATTCAAACTAATTTGAATAACTTTATAATCCGACTCAATAATGACACAACTTCCAAGTTGTGTCAACATCATAAATTTTGTAATTGTTACGAAAAAGCATACTAAAATGATAATTGAAACAAATTAGTGTACTTTGTGACAATATATATGAAATGTCTTAACGTATAAGCAAGGCAAAATTGTGAATGTTAAAAAAGTATAAAAGGAATGATTTTTATATATATAATTTTTTTTTCAAAGGTGTATATATATATATATATTTCCTTATCTAGGAGTTATCATTTCATTTTTTGAAATTATGAAGTCTTCTTTAGCTCTTGAAAGCATAAAACTTTTCACTTCAAACCAAAAAGGTCAATTCATTTAATCCAAATTTGGTTAAAATATTCAATGAGCCAGTCCAAGTATTTTTGTTTCTATAGTATTTCCTCATATTTTTATTATATTAATTGTTTAAACATTTTTCAACTTCATCATATTTCAGCTGATTGAGATTGGGACATACATTTTAGATAAAAAAAAAAGTATGAATTCTTACTCTTATTCGTGGTTGAACTAAAAAAACATTTAATATTCACATTATTTAGAATATGAAAAATAGATCATTTCAAAAAAAAAAAAAAAAGAAATCGTTTAACTTACTAATTTAGTCTGTACTTTTGTTTCAATTTGATCCCAATAGTCTCATAGATTATCTTGATTGTTGCTTACCTTCTTAGAAAGACACTCATTTATTTTTCAATTAGGTATAAATTTTAGTTAAAACGAGCATAGGTTAGTGGTAATTGACATATATTTTTAATCAAGAGGTTGTAAGTTCGATTTTGCCACATAAATTGAAAACATGTCACGTATATTGATTGGTGAGATTTTGCAAAATCAAAAAGACCAAATTGAAAAACTTTGAAAACTAGGCCAAATTGAAATTAAGCTGAAACCATAACAACCCAATTGAAACTTTTTAAAATTGTAGGGTCTGAATTAAGACTAAAATGGAGAATAAATCTGTACTTAAGCCAAATAAAAAGTATAAGCACCTTTTTATTTGAAGAGAAAAAACTTAAAAGAAAGAGGTTGAAATACTATTTTTGTCATTCTACTTCTAATTTTTGTTCATTTTAGTTCATGAACTTTGGAAACGTCAATTTTAATCCTCGACTTTTAAAAGTGACCATTTAAGTCAATCATTTTCAATTTATTTTATCATAATTTTAACATGACACTTTGACTCATTGAATTTCTTGAAATGTACCAATAAATTTGTATTAAATGGTATACCATGTATATAAAATTTAAGTTAAAAGATCAAATTGAAAGTGCAAGATCATAATGTTGTTTAACCATAAATAAAATAGTGTGATATGATTAATTTGGGTACAGTAAAAGGTATTTAAAACATATATATTTATTTATAAAGAAAAGTAATTGAGAAGGAAGGTAGCAGGTTATTTCCATAAAAAGAGAGACCAAGTTGAAACTTGAAAGTGAACTTTAACCTTCTTGGAAATTTGGAACGAAACAGAAGACTTTTTTTTTTTTTTTTTTTTTAATAAGAATCAATAGTAAAGTTTGAATTTATGTATAGTTTGAAAGTTATAAAGTTTTAATTTAAATATAAATTGTATTTCTTTTGGGGTGTAACAGATATTTATTTATTTATTTATTTTCTAAAGGGAGAATTCATGGTTAAGTGGAGACAGGGACGAGATAGGAGAGACTTTTCTTCCTCGTTTAAATTTTGAAGACGTAAACAAATAATGCATTTTTTTTTTGTCTCCATCGTCAAATATAAATTAATGTAATTTATTAGGTACCATTTGATATCAATTTCATTTTTTATTTTCTGTTTTAAAAAATTAGGCTTGTTTTTTACGTAAATTTTTCACCTCTCTTGAAAATATATTTAAATTTTTAGAGGAATATTAAAAGAAAGTTAAAAAACACATTTAGTCAATGTACTTTTACTAAGGTAACAATTTAATCATTGAACTTTAATTTATAACGATTTAACCCCTGAACTTTAGCTTGTAATGATTTTGTTCTTGTCATAAAAAGAATTAATTAAAATTAAATGTTAAAGTTTATATTTGATCATATAACAATTTAATCTTTCTCATTTATAAACATATTTGGTCCATATTTAGTTTATCAATCTATATATATAACCTAACAAAAAAAAGTTTCACAATAAGGAAAAAATCATTACCAACTTTAAATTATAAGAACTAAATTGTTACATATTAAAGTTCAAGGACTAAATTGTTATCAATTTGAAAGTATATGGACTAAATTGTTACTTTAGCGAAAATATAGGGATCAAAAGTGTTTTTAACCTAAAAACAAAAAGAGTTTTTGAGTATTTTTTTTTTCAAAATAACACACTCACTCGCTAATGTTTCTAAGATTAATTAAAGAAAAATGAAATGACTAACTTTAATATTTTATTAGAATTTTAGGACTACGATTTATCCCATATATATTTCTATAGTTAAAAAAGTTATAAAAATATATAAATATAGCTCTAAATTATAATCTAGTTACAATTATTTGTTAGGGTAGAATGGTACTTTATCACAATTAAAAAAATGTGAATCTTAAACCGATTTAGAGAAGCAAAAGATAGTCATCTGATTCTACGCTATTCCGTTGAACTCTTAATGTGAATTATTCAATGTTGGAAGTATTTATATCTAAATTGAGAAGTGTGTTTCAAAAACTTATACAATCTGGTTATTTTGACTCGTAAAATCGAGAATAAACAAACTCACGTGTCAAGTGTAAAATATCGAATAAAATCGTATAATTAAAAAAGGAACCTTGAAAGTCAGCGAAAAGCCACCTACCAGCAACACCAATGACTGGCATCAAATTGATGTGTCCCCTCTTGTTCAAAGATTATGATGTCATTTCACTTCTAATAAATGCTGTTCTTTTGATGTGTTTCCAGGAAACCCTGCAACTCAATTGCTTCCTCCTGTTTGGCTAGCCAGAAAATGAAAGAAAATACCAAACCAATTTTCAATATATTCAACTTCAAGATATTGTGTGTCGTCTTTCTTCTTTTGGTTGGGTGGAGGGTTGGAAGTGGGTTATTGCTTAACTTTTGATTTCCTTTTTTTCTTTCTCTACTGTATGATCATGGTTCCATCTACTTACTATTTGCTGGAATTGAAATGAAAAACTTATCGATATGGTTTACTAAGACGGTCTGGATTCAGGATGAGAATAAGATATGTTGCTATTAATTAATAGGTTAAAATAATATTTTGGTCCCTATATCTCGTTCGGTTCATTTTGGTCTATGTATTTCTAAAATGTTCATTTTGGTCGTTGTACTATTAATTTTAGTTCATTTTAGCCCACGTACTTTAAAAAACTGACCATTTTGACCCCTATTTTTATAAAATCATATTATATGTCTTAAGAAATATATTGAGTGTTGTGTCATATTGAAATTGTGATAGAAAAAATGAGATTAAAAATAAAATTAAGGTAAAAATAATCACCATTTAAAAGTACATGAACAACAAAATATTTTAAAAGTAAATAAATTAAAATCAACTAAAGTTTGAAAGTAGACCAATATGAATAAAAGCTTAAAAATATAAATATTGAAATAGTATTTTAAAATAGCAAAATAAATCTTTGGAGTTTGTGTTCAATTATGAATTACTATTTTAGCATAAATATTTGATTTGTTGTTCAGATAGATATGTACTTATCATTATGGAATAGGTGAAAAAAAATTGAAAGAGAAATGATTTAGTTAGAAAATAGCTTTTAATGCAAAATTTGATAACCAAAGAAAAAAAATATATATATAACAAGCTTGAAACAAAAATCTACTTTGTTCATTGTGGTTAAACTTTTATACTGTATTCAATAAAAATTTTGGATGATTGTAATAAACTTGTTTTTTTAAGTCACGTGTGTTAAAGAATAATTAGATTAGCTTATTCTTTTTAGAATTGAGAAGTTTGAATTTCCGCTACTTAAATTGTAATACTAAATTAAAAAAAAAAAATACTTCACATATTTCAAAACTAACATCAAAATTAAAAATAAATGACTAAATACAATAGAGATGAAAGTAAAATTTTCTTCAAATTTAAATAACAAGATAGAGTTAAAATATAAAAACAAAAACCAAATAAAA